TAATCACCTAAATATAGGAATCATCCGGCGGCCAACATGCTAACAGCTCATTGAAGGGACTGGGAGGTGTGTTTCTTGTTAGCGGGAGTCACATTTCTCTTCTTTGCCGGAGGTTAGCCGCCTCCCCGACCAACCAGCACCAAGCCAAGCTAGCCTGGGTCACAGGAAGTAGGCTGTTGGAATAAGTCTGCCACTGAGCGACTATTCTCCCCCTATACCAGAATGGATTCAACCAGACCTTTTAGCTAGCTAATGCCTCCTGGATCAGTGTAAACTTAACAAATGGGAACGAAAATTAATATCAACCCTCCATCAACTTCCTGGTAAGACAGCAAAAAATGGACTACTTGTTACTGGAAAAATCACATTACCGTAACATGCTACAAGTAATGCATCACTTGCCAACACTGAAAATAAATGGTGTCAGTAAAAGACATAGAAACACATACATTCAGAGACTTGGACTTTGTTTAGTGGTGGTGAGTGTATTGGAGAAATACTGTGTGTGTGTGTGTGCAGGCACAAATATGGAGCCATATTTTCTGCCCTTGTGAATTATGGTAGATGTCACTCAGCACATTGTATTCCAAGGCAGAGAGTAGTAATATATGAATCACTGCTCCTTTATCTCTGCAGGCAGACTGGACACACACCACCCAGTAATCAAGGGTAAAGCACTACCAATATATTAGCTGAGTGCAAAGTTATGAACGGGATTGTAAATATTGGCTTTTTCTTTTTTTTTCCGCATCTCGTGGGATGAATTGGAATGAAAAATGATATTATTGTTGAACATAAAATAGTCTAGTTTCATTGGAGATGTTATGGGGGAAAAAGGTAGACACTCAGCCGTAATATCCTGCTGTGTCAATCTGGACTTAGTTATGATCCACATTCATTTTAGTAATTTATTCAGCAGATGTCAACATCTGCAAAAGAACAAAATATCCTATGTGTTGTGTGTCAGCTGGCTTTGGAGCATGAAAGATATACAGCTGTGCTACAAAACTCTCTAAGTGGCAAGTTAGTGGCAAATGTGTGCCTCTGTGTGTGTGGTTGTGTGTGTGTCTATGTGTGCGTCCTGCTACCCCACCCCTTTCTCCCCTCGCCCTGCTCTTCACCCTCCGTTACCCTCCACTGCACTAGGATTCAGTCCTCCAGCTTCCTCTGCAAGGAACATTTGCGACCAACATCTACAACCCATTTAATGTATGAGAGAGTCATGCAGACTGACAAAGGCATTAATAAATACACACAAAATATTTATATATTGCATAAATTAGGGCACCTGTGATGTGCAAAGCTGAGAAATAATCAAACTTCATACAGATTCCAAACAAAAGCCATCATTCAGTCCGTGAATATAGTAGCAGGCTTGTTAAAAAAACACACACTTTTGTCAGTTAAAAATTTAAATAAAGCAGAATCTGACAAAAACTCACAACGTAAAATTAATAGGAAACACTTGAGTAGAAGGGTCCTTGAGGCAATATAAAATTACAACTATGGAGAATAATTCAGTCGTAGAGTTATTTTATAGATTTCTTTAGGCAATAGAATTTCCCTGGGTAATGCTCAACATAATTGAGAGGTAAAGTCGAGCTGGAAAATCCGATTGCCACATTACTGTCAATTTTGACACTGTGCATTTAGAATGAAGTGTATGAATAATGTATTGTAACCATGTGTGTGTTATTTTATAAACTACGAATATTCAGAAATGTTTACCGATGGTGTCATCACTGAAAAACATTCAAGAAAGACATCTGTACAGTTTGATATAAGCAAGGACATCCATTTTCTTTTTTGTTACAAAATAATCTAAGTCTAACCACCATGATTCCACCATGATTTGAGGAAAACATCATTAGGATTTTTCTGACCAATTTGTATTTGCTATTTTAATTGTGATTTTTTTTCCTTCTATTTATTAAACTCAAGGTCTGTATGGAATCATTATTTATATTTATTTTATAATATTTATCAAGATATTACATTATTACATTACATTAAATGATTTGTTGTCGTGCTGTAGTCTTATATGAAATATGAGTTTGATTCATTCGTGTTTTGTGCCCCTCGAGAAGGGACACAGTTCTCCAAAAACCCGTTGACACAAAAGTTTTTTTTTTAAAGGAATCACATTGCTTTCCTGAACTTTCTGAATTTCTGAAGCAATGGAATATTTATTATTGCTGAACGTGTTTCACTAGGTCACCCCCTTCCATACATAAACATCAAGAAGCAACAGTCTCATGTGGACATGTTTGCACTGCACACCAGGAAGTAGAAATCCTAAACAGACATGTTTTCAGAGGGCCAAAAATGTCTGAAATCACATAACCCATCAGAACCAGGCTTTCCTCTCAAACAAAACTCCAACAAAGCTGCCAAGTCAAAAACATCCACTGGCTCCCAGTCTGTTGATGATTGTTAGTAGAAATATGGAGAAATAGCTGGTACTTACTGCACCACTAAGCTGTGGGCAACATCTTAGATTATAGTTTAGAGATTGTCTTACTTTTGGTTTTCTCATTAGTTCCCAAAATCATAAATTTTAGTCCACAGAAATCTGCTCCTACCTTACAAACTGCTGTTGTGTGCTCGCAGGGAAGCTGTGTGCGTGAGCATAAAGCTCTCAGTGCACTGCTGACTGCTGGAAGATGGCGACCTGCGTGGCGAACGCTGAAAGCGGCTCCTCCTGTTGAAGTAGCTGCCAGCTGTCCAGGACCGCTTGTGCTTCCTCAGGTACTCCTTGTAGTTCTTGGTGAGCAGAGTGTACAGGAAAGGGTTGATGCAGCTGTTGGAATACGTCAGACACGTGGTCAGGTAGTTGATGTTGCGTTTGGCTTTGGTGGACAGGGAAAGTGAGGGTTTGAACTGACCCAGAAGTTGCCATATCCAGAAAGGCAGGAAGCATGCCCAGAAGAGGAGCACAATGGTGAAGATCAGGTACAGCACCTTTAGGGACATAAGAACACATAGATGAATCATTGATGAGAATCACTCCTGCCTCTAGGGCTTTCACAATATCCGCAATAATGAAATACCACACTGTTGATAAGCCAACAGCAGGGGATGGCAAGCCACCGCCACAACTGCATGTGACGTCACATAATCACGTTATGTTTTTAAGATGGGAAAGTATCCCAGAGTGGCAAGGCTAACTGGTAGCTGTCTGCAGCAGAACGTCGCTAGTTAAAAGGGTCGCAGATCCAGAAGGCAAGAGGACGGAGATGCAGGTGATTCGTACAAGCAGGTACTGAGATGAAACATTATCCTGTTGTACCTCTTACAAAGTAATTTGCAAAAACAACAATAAGTGGCGGTAATACCGCATACCGAACCACCCTAAATCACTGCAAAAGAAATTCCTTCAACTCAACACAGCAAGGGATCCACAGCTACACAAAGCACTGATAGAGACAGGGAGAATTAATTATTCCTCCATCAGCGGCACTTTTGAAAGTTAGACAGCATTCCCTCTTGGTCCAAGCTAGCCTTTAATGCCACTGAAGGGCAGTATTTGCCACATTGCTAATTACACTGATAAGACCAAATGAAATCATCTTAAGCCCTGCTATGAAGCAAATTGGAACAGGTTTTGTCTCAGCATAAGCAGAAAGCAAAAGGGGAATGGAAAATAGACAACCTGCAGCAGCACGGAGAGGATTGATAATGGGATGCTTTAAGCAGAGAGCTGAACTGATGCTGCCACAGTCATATACTCCTAAATAGCAATTATTTATCTTTTATGATGACAGTGTTGTTGGCATACCCTCTCCCAAACAGTTCATACAATAGCTGCAAGAGACAATGTCACAAGCCTATGAGCTACATGACAGGGCCCCTCCCTCAGAAGTTCGAATACACTCCATGAGGAATATGACTAAATCAACAGCCTTGGTTAGTGGAATGTCTGCGGTGTTAGTTTGAGCAGCAGTGTTTTGCCTAACTTCCTGCCAATTCATCAGATTCTACCTGATGGATGTGTCTGGATCTATTTCCAGCTTTGTTGCCGGGTGGGTAAGATATGAGGAACAGTCTAGGGTGATGCTGCCCACCAAAAAAGGAGAAGCAAGACCTGAGCCTCAAATTGGTTTGGAGAAACTGTCCTCCCTCCACAAAGTACACAAAGGGAGGAGGTTGGGGTAATTGGCTGGGTCAACAAAAGGTGGAACTTTTGCACGAGAGACCATTGTTTGTTTCCTACAGTCGGCCTATGTATTTAAACTGTGACCACGATCATTCCTCAGTCTTAACCAAGTGTTTTTTTTTTCCAAATGCGATCATTTCCTTACCCTATCCAAGTCTCAGTTTCAGTGCCTAAACTTAACCAGATCTTTCACCAATCAAGGGCCAGATTAGAAAGCTTATTTTTGCAACAGTGATTCGTAATTGGTTATTGAACACTGACACAAACAATGTGTTTTGTCGTGTTACTTGAAGGAGTGGAGTGATGTTGTCATATGCTTGAGCACATACATGCAAATATTCAGTGTGTAGAACCCCAAAAAGACCCTATCCCTTAAAATACACTATCTTGTGATGCACTGACCTTTTGGTTGGGTAGTTTCTTGGTCTGTTTGAAGGTCTCCGTCTGTGAAACCCAATAAGTGCGTGCAAGCTGGATGTAGAGATAGCCAATGATCAGTCCTGGAGCGACAATGCTAGTGCAAAACAGGAAGGAGATGTAAACTTTGTAGGAGAGTGGCGACAAGGTGGGCTGACACATAGCCTTGTTTCCCACTGCCATTAGCTGAAGGCTCACGATCATCGGTAGGGTGAGGATGAGAGATGCAACCCAGACCAGCAGAGCGATGGCCTTCCGGTAACTTTTAGACCGCTTGACTGTGTCGAGTGGCTTGAGCACAGCAAAGTAGCGCTCCGTGCTCATGATTGTCAGTGTGAAGATACTGGCATGCATGGTCAGGAAGTCCATGCTGATCAGAATCCGACACCCTGCGTCCCCAAAGTACCATCCCTTTAGGAAGTGTGTACAGACTACAAAGGGTATGGTAAGAAGATACAGCAGATCTGCCAAAGCCAAGTTTATGATGTAGATGTACATAGAGGCTGCAGTTCTCATGGAGTGGCACATGACCACCAGGGTGTAGATGTTCCCAGAGACTCCAACGAGGCACATGATGGAGAGGATGGTGCCGATGGTAAAAGTAGCGGCTGTGTCCTCATGCGTGTTCAGAGGGGAGTCGGTGGCATTGGCGCCCCTTTCCACGAGGACTCCTACAGGCTCCATGGACACTGTGGTCATATCTGGAGGTGTGGGAACAGAAATGTAAGAGGTGAGGGTGGCAATTATACAGAAAAATTACATTTGGTAATCAATCTTTGTCTTCTAAGTGATCCTTGGATTATTATTTCATTGAAGTGGATCTTACATAAATTGGGACTTTTATAGTCAGAGAAACTATACTGGCCTGTTTGGCTTCATTTATAATCTCCATTTGTGACAGAAGCAGTCATTAAGCGGGTCTTAATGAGTATGCTGTAAATGCAAAGCTTCCTTTTTATAGCCTCCATCTCTGCTAGTCATTTGCTAAATCTGTCTCTTTTACTTGAAGTACCTGTGACTGCTTGCTCTCACTCATATTGAGGAAAATGAAATCCCTCATTTTACACTTAGAAAGCAGCTCTGAAAATAGCTTTGAGCTCATGTAAATTCTATTAAATATTAATGTAATATAAAACACCATGAAGTATGTTCCTGTAAGGTTGCCAAAGTTTTCCTGAATTGGTCATGAAATTAAATGTTGGACAGGTTTTGAAACAGTTAGTGTCTTTGTTTCTGATCTCAGGTTTTTAGATGGCATACAGCACAACTGTCCAGTGGTGGAAGAAGAACTCAGATACTGAAGTTAAAATAGCAATACTACAGTATAAAATACTTTTACAAATAGAAGTCCTGCATTCAAAATTTTACTTGAGTAAAGTGTAAATGTATTTGCATTTAAATATAATTAAGATTCCAAAAGTAAAAGTACTTATTATGCAGAATGGCTCATTTCAAACTCATATATATTATTTTATATTAATTTATATTATTATAATTGCATGATGCATTAATGTGTTTATCACCTTATATACTTCTGGATAGCTTAACCTATGACAAAATATCATAATGTATTAGCTGATTTATATTTTGTATTAAAAATCTAAATCTGCAAAGTAACTAAAGCCATTGAATAAATGTTGTGGAGTAAAAAGTACAATATGTCAAGTTTAAAAAAGCAGAAAATGAAAATACTCTGGTAAAGGTACCTAAAAAAATGAAAGGCAGTATGTGAGTAAATGTTCTGAGTTACATTCCACCACTGTGTAGACTGAATTTGAACAGTGCTACATTCTGATTTAAAGATGAGGGTTGCATTTTAATTGGTTAATGCTGACAAAATCATCAAATGTTACAATGAAAGATTTTCTGATGGAGGTGAGACCTAAAGTTATTGGCTGATATTCTATCTGAGTATTCTTTACGTCAGCAGAATGACGATTGAATGCATCCTCACTCTCTGAGAGCATACAGGCAAAACTGTGCAAATTTTGTAATACACGCACCGAGGGTGTGTGCTAAACAAAAAAAGAGGCAAATGTCTCAGAGTTGATGCAACTGTTAAAGGAACATAGAGAACTTTTTACTCAGTCACAGAGGTCTCATTTGTCCTGTCTATTGCCAAGCTGTGTAGATTGAGACAGAAATAATTGAGAAAGAATTCTTCCTTTGCGTCATTTGCTGTTTCAAAAGCACCAGGGGCAGAGATGAAGTCAGTTAATTACATTTCAGCCCTCAATAATAGACTTGTGTACTCTGATTAGAACAACAGCCCTTAGTGCATGCATGTAAATGTATCTTTGTGGACAAATCTAGCTGGTCATGTAAGTGTATTAGAATAAATAAACACAGTCTTACCTGGACTGCCTCCCTGGACAGAAGGGTTCAACACTCAGCCGCAGTTCCATCAGCCATGCTTCGTATCACTTTGCTCCTCCAAACTTCACACTTGCTGCAAAAATTTCACACTCCATAAAAGTCCCAAAAAATTCTACAGAGTAGCTGAGAGGTGAAATATGCAAGTGGAACAAAAGAAAGGAAAATCTGTATCCAGCAGTTTCAAGGGAGGAAAATAACCTAAATGAGTCATCCACTACAACAAAAATCCTGCCATTGTTGACTAGTCTCTCAACAGCAAATGAACCAATCCAGCGTGTCTATTCAAGAGAAAGACCCACTGGTAGCAGCCTTAAAAGTTCTCTTCCATTCCCTCTACGTTTTGTGCACCTTGGTAGCATCCAAACATTGGACGCCAGCTGTGACATCGGCAGCAGAGTAATTTAATTCAGAAGAGAAAATAAAACAAAAAATGAGAGAACATCAATGAAATGGTGATGAGAAGTGAGGATCACATTAAGATACAGCTGGTTACGGAGAATCCCCCCTTTGACTGAGAGAGAGTAAGAGAGAGAGAGGGAGCGAGAGGGAGAGTGTGAGTGTGAGTGTGAGAGAGACAGGAGCGTGCTGCTGGCTAGGCACTCTCGCTCAGAAGTGGGAGGGAGAAGACGGGAGAGAACGGGCAACAGAGAGGTATGCAGGAAATGTGTTCTGCTCTCTGTCTCTCTCTACTCTAACCCCTGTGCCATCTATTTCCATGCAACGGGGGCGTGTGCCACAAACTGATATGCAACACTGGGACTTGAGACACACATTACACACTGACAGAACAACCCTGCTGACACAAACACACATGCAGTATTAAATCAATGGCTAAAAAGACAGTGACACTGTCCATTTGTTACAGGGTGGGATATCCAGCATCCATTATTTTAAATGGATAGTGCCAGGGTCAGTGTCATCTACCACTATGGCAATTCACCTAAGCACAGTCATCAAACATCATCCATTGCAGGGGGCAGGAGGGGTGATCCAAGCTAAACAATGTCTTTGGCCTTCTGTTGCTGCTCATACAGGCTACATGGGGACAATGCATTTATCATGAAGAGAGCACAGTACATCCATTCTGGCATACTTACACTGGCTTCTTGTACACTTCAGAATTCAGTTAAAGATCCTCCTGCTCTTAAATGTCTCATGGTCTAGGCTCAAAACAAAGAGGGACCGTACTTTCACTGTTTTCACTGTTTTAGCTCCAAAACTATTGAATTGCCTCCCCCTCACTGTCAGGTCAGCTGAGTCTGTACCACATTTAAAAAAAAACATTTAAAACCCACTTGTACAGATTGGCATTTTTATAAGTTTGTCAATTGCAATTGTTATTGGTTTAATTTTCTTAATTTTGTTTTGTTTGTTACAGTGCTTTTATTGTTTAGGTATCTGAATTTTTTTGTATTTTTACTTGCTGTTCTGCCGTGTATGCATCTATGGGTACCATTATGTGTTGCTTTTCTATTGCTTTTATTGTTGATTATCTGTTTCTGTTTTGTGTTAACTGTAAAGCACTTGTGAAGTGCCGTTTTAAGTGTTATATAAATAAAGTTTATCATTATTATAAAGCTGCATGCTAAATAGGAGCCTTGCTCTTCCTCACTGACACTGACATTTTAAATGAAAAATGTGATCATGTAAAAAGTAATGAATGCATCAGTGTGAACAAAAGCATCTTCAAAACTCATGGCATATAATTATGTTTTTTAGGATGGTTCAGACTTAGTGTGAAGCAAATTTTAGTGGTGCTGGCATTCATTCTGCTGTAGCCATTACATGTATTTACAAAGATTACATGTATTTACACCCATTAGGTACCTTTCTATGTGGTAGGCTGCATTGTCAGTGACGGAGTCCGCCATTCCTGTGCTGGATTCAAATGGCGTGTACATCAAGCCTCCTGGAACGGAGCTGGGTTGTGAAGCAATTTTAGTGTAGTGGCCGGTAATACATGCCAAGTGAACACATTTTATAGGAAGGAACGCACAAGGAATGCACAGGAAATGACGCATGCAGGACAAAATTCAGAAAACAAGCTGTTGTATGTCACATATGACTTAATCCGGCTCATAAAGTTTTTTATCATGCACTGTAAACAGATATTGTTTGTCTTCCCCTGTTGTATTTCCTGCCTGTCGCTTTGAATGCAACTCTGGGAGTTGTATGATTAAGACATTCTTAGTGTTACCACAGGTTTTGCCTACCAGCATGGGCTGGAATTATAAGGATTATAATAAGGATTAGGATGTTAAGATAAAAGATTTTGTATATCCCAAAGACAATTTTCTACTTTTCCCTTTTCTTTCTATGTAATGTTACTTTTTACAGCAATGTCTTTGAAATCAGGAAGTATGTGCAGTTATCATCTGCTCCTACAGTAGGGTCAAACTGAATGGGAAAACACACCTTTACATCATGAAGAGTACCATTGCACTCTGTACCCTGTAGTAGGTTTATTTTTATTTATACATTTATACATGAGTTGATTGTGTGCTATGTCTGATGCCTGTTTTAAAGAAATCAACACCAAATTAGATGCCTAGCAGGAGATCCAAACATCCTTTTTGTCAGCAGGGAAGGCTAAAATGAACACAATTTCCCAGTGGGCATCTTGTAATTACAGTCAGTTCAATCTGAACACAATTGTTGTTAGTCTGTAATCAATCATAAATAAACTGCAGCAGATAAATCTCAGTAAAAGTCAGCTCCCTTGGTGTGAAATTAACTTGTGGTTTTTGTCAACTTAAACTGCTGATTTGTGCTTTATTTGACTGCTCTTTGAAAATCATCAACACTTATACTAACCGGGAGAGAAATCCAATCCACACATGCCTTAATTTATTAATACCAGTAGGAGGGTAACATGAACAGTCTTTCTCAGTGGGCAGGTTGCAATTACAGTCAATTCAACCTGATTTGACTGCTGCTTTATCTTCCCATTCTGTCTGTCATTTGCCACTTATCTAATCAGAGCTGGCCCCCAAGCAGAGTGACTTTATGCAGAAAGAGACTTTGAGACAGGCCTTTTATGCTGCTGTATTTACTGCTGTAACCTTTTAACCTCAGAGGTCAGAATTCCATTTCTAACAATAGAGCCTCTCTGTGTTGCAAGTCAATACATTTAGCCAATCGACGAGCCAATGGACTGTTACTGTTTTCATCCATGTGGTGAGTACTCCCCATGTTGTATTCATGAAACTACAGCCAACGCATATTGGTAGCAGGATTGAACTGATTAATGGTCGCTGGAAAAGACACTTAGGATGCACAAGAGAGACACAAATCTTTCTGACAACGTGCATTTGCTTTTATGACGGAATTAAATTTCAAATAACTCCTATCAGAGTCGAGCAGGTATAACTGGATTTAGACATGCCAGTGGAAAAGCAAGCAAGCCTCTTCTCTGCACTCTTAACAAACGATTGAAAATAAATAATGGGTTGTTATGTAATAGTTGGGTCTGTGGGAATGTGCTTGTGAGGGTTTACGTGGAATGTAGTTGGAGTTTATAGAGGTTGTCTGGGGGATCTTATCACAGCAGGGGTCACATTGCTTCTGCACTGTGTATGCTTGTGAGTGTTTAAGGGTCATCCTCGTAAAATTAGAGACTATCTGTAAAGGGATTAAGGGAGCACTGATGAGCAGCTATTCAAGCCAGTTGGTACTGGATATCCCCTGCTTACACAGTAAATAATGCAGTGCAACTGCCTGTCACAGATTTCTACAATCACAAGAGACTTTACAGGATGACACCCACCTCCACCTCATTAGCCATCACACACACACACACCTACACACACACACACACACATACACAGAGACAGGGGAATGGAACAGAGAAGGAAGAAAAATGTTTCTCCCTACCAAACTGGCAACTCTGTTGCATGTGTGTGTGTATGTTTGCATGTGTTAGTGTGTTTATCCTCTTTTAGCATACTAAATGCTAGGCCAGATGCTAAGGGGCAGCAGCATCAATCAGCTGCTCAGAAAATCACACACTATTTCGTATTAGCCTTAAGCTTATGGTAAATAGCAATCTGACTCAATGCATGAATGCATCTTAAAAGTGCACTCACTAACATTCATGACGCTGTGTGAGTCAGTGTGTGTGTGCGTGTAACGACAGGTGTGCGTGGCTCTGTGTGGCATTTGATGTCGTAATGAGCACACAACATGCATAATGCATCGTCGCTCCGAAGCTATGAACAGCAGCTCCGCGTTGACTGCTGTCTGCTCTTCATTTGTTCTGTGGATGAAAGGGTGAAGTTTGTCAATGTAGCAGACAGAGAGGAGGAGAGCAGAGGAAATGAATAATGGGGGAATACAAATGAGTTCAAAATTAATGCACATCAAAGAAGTTTTAAAACACAGCCAAGGTAAAAATCCCAAAAATGAAAGCAAGGACAACAAGAACACTGAGAACAATTATAGATATGGGATGCTCTTTTGTTTCCTGCCTGGGAGGGATTCAGATGATTGACTTAAGTAGCAAAATCATAAGGTAGAAGTGCGCAATTACAAAGTGATCCTGCATTCAAAAATAATGCTTCAGTATTATAGTATACATGTAATACACTATACACTGATTATATTTCAATCTGAAGAGACTTCAAGAAGGAGACTGAGAGTGAGAATTGTGGATGAATGAGGTACAAAGAAGGTAAAAAAAAAACTACAAACTACAAGCAAAAAAACAGCTTCAGTGTGGAATTTTGTTTCTGTAGGGACAACATACGTTGATGTCACATCAATGATTTTGATTCTTTTGTTGGCATTTTCATTTTGAAATTCACATTTTATATCGCTGTTGTGTTGGAATTGTCCAAGGTTTGTCTCCATATTAACTCTGGTTACACCTTGATTATGAAACAGGCCCTTCGTTTAGCTGTAGCTCAGGAGGCAGAGCGGGTCGTCCACTAATTGATTCCCTGCTCCTCTTGCTGCATGTGTCCAGCCTCCCCTGCACTCCCTGTTCCCCACCCACATGCCCCCAGACCAACTTGATTTCATGGGATGGCGAATAAATCACACACCACTTTTAAAGACATTCCATGTATCATGTCTATGTATTTTAAACTATTCAAGTGTCATTTAATGTTAGATATGGCGCATCTCATGAGTTTTGGAAAGAGTCAGGTGACCTTCATTGCCATAGTCAGGTGACCTTTGTCATCATCGTAAGAATAATAAACACGTGGTTTGAGTTGTGAAACAGTTGCAGTTTGGTTAGGATTAGCCACCAATCTTAATAGGCTTGGGGAAATTTTATGGTTTTGGTTAAAATAAATTAGGGGCACCCCTTTCCTGTCCATCGTGAGCTGTCCTATCCAATAAAGGCAAAAAGCCCCCCAAAAATATAAAAATGGTTATGTATGTACGTACATACAGTAAGTTAAGTTATGTACTAAAGTTAACTCATGTACTAAAGTTAAAATAAGTCAACGTTAACTCTTAGTTCCCAATGAGCAGTGGTCTCCTGGTTGAAAGTGTGTTTCTTTGACCCATCCACCTACTCCGACGTCTTCCATATGCAGACTTAAGTAATGCAG